CTATCTTAAAACACATTTATAATATATGAGCAATAATTTCCAAATAATAAACATTCAGTCAGAATGATATCAGTATTTTTAAACACAATTACATTATTAGTCTTATGTTCTGAATAGGATCTGTTACAATGTGGACATTTTCGATGAATAATTATGATTACTTTTCGTATGATCTGTTCTTCTGTATATTGATTTTTAATCTTTTTTTAAAAGATGTCAATGAAATTTTAATCAGAGATCCCATGAATATATGAGTTTAGTATATCACCTCATGGATTCAAACTAGAGTTGAATGACTATTCAGTGCTCTATAATGTTCAGTATATATTTAGATGATGTCAACTGGTAATGATAATTTTATGACCCTTCAATTTTGTTATTACAAGCTACCTAAAAAATTTAGAATAGAACTAGAAAAACAAAAATGGTTTTAGTCAGTGTAATAGGGAGAAATAAGCTTTTTGAATGTAAGTTGATGATACACAATTACAGTTACTAATGTTAATAGTCTGTAATAAGAAGTACATAAAATTTTATGGTTCTTAATTCAGAGAGTTCTTAAAAAATATTTACGTTACCAAATGTTGAATTGAAAATAATCGGAAGGGGTTTTGTGGAGATTTCAGTATTTTCATAGTTGAAATCATGAGTCAATTGAAGCTAGACCACCATGGAAAACTTGAAAGCACTGGACGGTCGTTTCGTCCTATAGCGGAACTCCTCAGCAGTGCGCATCCACGACCCCGCCTCACGAGATTCGAATCCAGGGACTACCAGTTTCGTGTGCGAGCGCTTAAACATTAGACCAATGAGCCGGCATCCGATGATGTTTATGTCTAATTTCAACCAATCCACGAAAAAGGCCGTCCAGTGCTTCCAGGTTTTCCATGGTGATCTAGCTTCAATTGACTCATGCTTTCAACTATGAGAATTAAAAACAGTCGTAAAAGCCAGAAAGTAAACTGAAATCATATTAACATAAATCAAACATTCAGCTAAATAGCACTGTGTAAAACACTGAGCATTGAGTTCTTTTACATCTAAAGTATTTTACATTCAATTGACAATTTATTTTTCATCATGCCGAATAAATTCAGCAACAAGGTAGTAATAAGTAAGAAACACCATACAGTTACTGTTTGAAATATCAGTTCCTTATTGGAGCAGTTTGCTAGAATTTCGTAAATTGCATGTCGTTTTCTTATGGAATTGATATAAGGTAAAGAATCATCAAAATAAGTAATCATAGAAAATTATTCTGTTGTAAAGCAGTGATTATCAACGTGACGTGACTCCCATACCATTCGGGCTATTATTCAAAACTTATCGAATACGTTTATTACTTTGGTCATTTTGAAATGTAACTCAATGCTCATCTGACCAGTGCTTTATTGACTTTCATTGGTCATTCAACTTATCTCAGTCCCCCTTCAAATTAATTTTTTAATCGAGATCAATGTTGGACCACCGTCAAAAACCTGGAAGCACTAGATAGCCGTTTTGTCCTAGTAAGGGACTTCACAACAGTGTCCATCCACCATCCCGCATGCAGGACTGCAACTGAGGACCTTCAGTCACGCACGTGGACGCGTAACCTTTTGACCACTGATTTGACGTCCAAAGGTGTTGATGACAAACTGCAACCAACCAACAAAATCGCTCGGCCATCTTCCACTGTCTTCGTTGAGTAACCTCCTAATACCTGAGACCACTGAATTCCACTGGTCTCTGCTTCTCACAAGGACTCCAAAAATTTCCACTTGAAGCTAGTCACAAGTGAGCAGATGATAACTGTTATTATAGAATTGTGAAGATTGTTGAGTTTCACTGAAGTCATGAGCTGACCAATGTTAGACCACTGTTGAAAAAGACAGATTGCGAGGACACTAAGACATCGAATTATGATATTGTTTGATCATAGTAATTAAACTTCTTTTATTTCTACTTTTTTAATGCCTGTTATGTGAGGTTCTTTGTTGGTATGAAATAATACTGTGTGGCTAATAGTAAGTTGCATCAAGTGTTGTTTTGCACAGTATATCCATGGAATTTAGATTTCTCACATTCGTCAGTCGTTACGCAGGTTTTATAGTATTTTAGAAGTCCTTGGGTTTTACTGAAAATTCTAGAATACTACTAAACATAGTAGTAGTGTAGTAATCAGTCAATCAGAACCTCTACATGTAACTTTTCATTTTCGCGATATTTCTAGCAAAACTTCTAATCAAACGCTGATTGGGTCAAATGCTTCTTAATGTTTCCTGAGCTAATCATGTCTATTGCGAGAAATTTTCAGAATCGCCCCAACAATTATAAAAAATATATGCTTTAAATGTTCACAGTTTATTGCGCTTTAATGAGTATTTTGTAAATGTTGTTCATTTAGGATGATAATATAGATTTCCTAATACAGTAATTCTTATCCTGCATTTACAACATTAATTACGTTGAACAAATTGAGAAAGAATATAAAGATGTCACAGATATTCGGAGTTTGACAATACCTTTAACCTTAGCACCTTTTGAACCAAAGAATACCAACCGAATCAAATCAGAAGTCAGAAATGAAGGAGTTCGAGGATATATTCTACTGGTCACTAATAAGTCGAGATGCATTTGATCTAAGCTGGCTAGCACTTATAAGAGATGAGTAGCACGGCGTACCCATTAGTGATCTGGTGCGGATGAGTGTCTGAGCGCCTTCAACTAGGGTGCATCTAATAAGACTAATGAGGTCAGTATCAATGTCGAGGGCATACAAGATTATTTATTAGAGGGATTCATTTACCGCTAAAGGCATTAATGCGATAATTTTTTGATCAGCTAGTTTACATATTGCAAATAGAAATTTTCCAGTTTGCTTTTTTGTATAGTATTCGTACTTTAGTGTAACCGGTTCATTTGAACTTTGTGAGATGATAATCAACTAATTATATTGATAACTACGTTATATTATAAAGTGACTAACTTTGGACAGTGTAATAAGATGACGAAGTTTATCAGAATCATCTGATGTATTAACGCAATACGTTTCGAACAATCTGATCATATATATTCATGTTAAGAACATTTATATATAAAAATAAAGTGACAACTAAACAAATGAAGAGCAAGAGGAAACAGAGATAATAAAGAAAATAATGTGAAAAACAATATGCAACTCACCACTCCGGATAATGAACTACTATTCCTAGTGTAGGCTTAAGATGAGAACAAACTGTTTTTGAATTCATAAAGGGGAATATCCCATAACACGGTCCTGATAAGCCTCGTTTTCTTATTACACTAGCCCAATTTGTCAAGTTGATTAATTGCTTGAAATTAACTATCGTTATGAAATGTAATCAGAGATGTCTTACTGAGTGAGTGATTAGTATAATGCTTGTTACAGAATCTGTAGGTCTTTTGTAAATAGGCGTTGATCTCCATTTCTAAATAACGAGAACATCGATTTAATGTCTGTGCAACGTGTCTTGGTTATAATGATTGTCTAGCTTACACTGAACGATCCCTAAAAGGTCATTGAAAACTACTGAGCTGGAAAGATTTGAATAAAGTTATGTTGTTGCTTTATACGCTTCACCGCCCATCTATCTTAATACTTTGTGTTACGCCATTTTATAATATTTAATGAATGTTATTTCAGTATTATTTTTTAAGTCATCGACCTACTTCCTATCACAAAACATTGTACCAAGTCTTTTTATTCTTATCACATCTAGTACACTTAGCATCACACTACCAATTTGCGCTTTTCATTTATTATGTTTATTATTGTGGTTTGTTCCATTGTTATCACTGACTCATAAACTGCCTTGATTGGTTTATTGACTTCGTATATACACATAAATATTACTGTATATTAAGGTAAAGCTTGATGAAGATCTAATTGCAAACAATATTATTCGCTTATATATGTTGTTCTCAAGTAAAAACGACCAATTAGGACCCATCGGTAATTCTAATTAGTGTTTTGTGTGTCACTTGATATTTTACTTCGAAAAAAAACTGTGTCATAATAGTTTTGCATTATGTGAAAATTTGCTCTCTAAAAGAGTTCATTATTCAAGTTTAACTGAGAAAGTGTAGATCGATACGAATCAAAATAGTGTATGTACTTAAATTCAATTCATTTCGTTTTACCCCTTTTTGTTCATTGATTATTGTAACAAAAACATTTTCGACAACTTAATTCATTCTCGTTAAAATACGTTGCTAACTTATTAATTTTGAACGAGTTCATGAACCGATCAATGTTAGACCACCATTGAAAGCCTGAAAGCACTGGACAGCCGTTTAGTCCAGTCAGTCCATTTCGTCCTACATAAATTACGGGGTAAAAGATGAATTTAAAATAGGAAGATAAAGATTTTATATGTAATATTTAATACATAATTGTATCCAGAAGAGTTTTCAAAATCTTACATAAAATCGTCTCAAAGACAAATAAACGTGTTAACTGAATTGAGGACATAGACACCAGATCACTGATGGGATTAAATGGCGTTCACGTTTTATATCGTCAGTCAGTTAAAAGTGAATACATAAATCATCGGATCTCTACCCAATGGCTAGAAGTAAGTCATACTTTTTGCGAGACTCAGTAATCGTAAGTTCGACAGGTTTGTGAAAAAAATTGATGACATCATTGACAAGTCTCACAAAAAAACGGAACAACTACAAGTTTCAGTGGTTCTTCATTTCAGGTTTTTTTTAAATTTAAACCAAAAGTTCTTGACTAATCAGACTAACGATTTTGTTCTAATTGTGACCTAAATACTGTATCGTCCATGATTATTATTGTAATCATTATTAATAACTGCTTTATCAATGACAATAAATACACCGCTTATAAATAAATTACCATTGTTCTCCGAGATAGAATTTTTGTATTGCATACCAATTCATATTAAGAACTAATTTCATTAGAGCATTTTTGTATCAAAAGACCTAGATATAAAACCATGTGGACAGAAATATAGATTAAAAACAACATAGCTAACCATCATTTCTTAAGACGTTTATTACATTTATCTTAACAAAAATATGCCATTAAACAAATTTCTAACAGTTCACAAATTATTTTTGATTCAAATAACTTAACACACATGACATAAATTGAAATCAATAAATAAGATAAAGCCGGTATAGGTAGACAAAAACTGTTCTCTCTTTTATCTTGATAGAATACAAGTACATGCACGCTTGAATGATTTCGCACAGGTTATTCGGCTTTTGGTGAAAAAGCACTCTATTTTAAAACAGATAAGAAGGAAAGAAAAATAAGAGTTTGTTGAAGAAATCATTGGAAAATGTTAATATAAGCATACGTTTAATTAAGAGTTATATTTCAAATGTTTGACGAGTTATGGTTAGATTCATGCCTGCTATATTCAGTATAAAGAATGGAAATATTTATACAATCAAGTCAATGTAGATCCAATGTTAAAAGAACCTGATTAAAAAAATATTCATGTTTAGTGCTAACGGCAAAAAACCTGGCCGATGATATATATATATATATATAAACCATCCCTTCAGTCTCTGATGCCTAACCCTTCAGATGAACAAGTCAGATAACAAAAGCTTCTTTAAAGAGTTGAGATCAGCAGTTGGTGATTTCACATACAGACAAAATATTCTATTCTATCCATCATTAATAACGTTTTTTCAACCTAGTCTTACTCTAGTCATCAAATATAAGCTTCCATTAAATAACACATCCAGCAATCAAGTGAGATGACAGAATTTCATAACATTTGCAAATTATCAAATAATAATTGAACATTCAAATTTATTAGCGTCTGTTGTATGATTTCATGGTGTGTAAAACATGACGTGACAACGTTTTCTATTATTATCGACCTTGTTTACTCATTTTCTGTAGACACATGGAAAGACGAAAATAACCTGCTAAGGAAGAAATCACAAACTGAAAGTAAGCTACGTGAAGAACACTGAATATTTCTGTCTTGAAATATTTCTACCCATTACAATTTAGTTCAAAGAGCGTGCGAGCTCCTAATAAAGGTATTCAGGTCTTTTTCAGTAAGATAGTTCAGTACATGAATTAGTGTTAAGTAGTGTTAAGTAGTCAATAATCATAAACATGAAGTCTTTAATCTAAATGCCATACTTAATTTGCGTTTGAGTTATGGTGTTGTTGACATTTTAAACTAAATTGCGATTAATCTTAGTGATTGTCTGGGCTATGTGACCTAGTGGATAACGCGTTGTTGTTTGAAGCTTATGGTAATGGGTTCGAGTAACAATGTCAACATCAACACTTTGATACGGGTCAACTCATCTGACGAGTCACAAGAAGACAAAACTCAGATTCCTGATTCCACTGTTGTTCATAGTAATTCGCAAAAATACGAATCACAACTCAGGAAGTTTATTGTAAATTTACATTGTTTTGTAAGTTCTCTGCAACTGCTCGCCACCTATAGAATTTAGTTCATCTTGTATTGGTTGCTTGAATCTTTCCATCGACGTTCAGAACTGCCACTGATCAGTGACTTATTGACATATGTGCATCCTGTACGAATGCCTCAATATTGTACTGGAGTGAACATCAACTCTGGGATTCAGGTATATCCAGATGACGAGTCCTAAATAGGACGAAAGGCGTGTCCTGGATTCCACCACTAGACACAAATATCACGTTTAAAGGGAAGTATTTATCAAGGTGATAGATCTTGTTGTTGTAGAATAACGAATTGTGACAGATATCAAGGAGTTAGTAAGAATTATTTATCGATTCGGCTTAGATAGGTAAGTAAACATTCGAGAAAGAAAATCGGATGACGAGAATAATAATGACATCGAGTTTCTAAAATTTATGGCTAATTAGTGTAGTAAACATTTTAAAACTTTTTAGCATGTTTTTAAAAGTTAAGAGGTGATTCTGACCACAAGATGGAGCCAACTGTAGGGAATTAAAAACATTCACGTCACGTTACTAAAACCCCTTGCTTCACAATTTAAACCTGATGAAATTTTTGATGTGGTGTCACTATTATTTAGTCTTATCAATAAGTATTTATCTCATTACCAACGTGGCTGACTTCATAGATTACGACTTTAATGATTCCATTTAAAAGTTATTTGCTAGTGAGATCATGATTGTTTTCAAGTCTGATGATTTTTGCAAAGATGCCATTTGACGTGGTTGCACCAGAATAAGTCTGTCATTTAATCTTCTCAATGTATCGCATAATAAATGATTAACTTACATCATCCGTGCATAAAAGTGTTTTGATGAATTCGTCTAAGGTAATTCTACCATCTTTATCATGATCAAATTTTGACATAAATTTCTGTATATTAAAAATAATAAAGAATGAAAGATACAATCGTTTCAAGTTAAAAGATAGAAAATATATCAATCAAAAATAATAATTTGTAAAAAAAATCCGGCGATATTTTTGTCGAACCAGAATACTGTAGAACTACAGGTTTCATTCTACAATTCAGTGTATCACAATGAATCAAGTAATTCTTTCATATCAGGAAAACATTTTTGATGTCAAAATTAGTCTGAAGTCATCAAAATATACTAATTTCATTCATAGAAATGGACTAGTTATTGGCGGACGATTAACATAAGTTTAAAAATAAACACCATAGAATACAAATTATAATGGGTATATATAATGGATTAGTACTTGTAATGGACGTAGATGAATTTAGCTCTACAGTTTGCATTCTTTTTCATCTGAAATCCTTTTGGATTGTTGTATCAGTTTACGTTTTGATAATTGTATAAGATCAAAATAGAAATCAGCTTTTTGACGTCCTTATCTTTTTAGAATACTGTCTGGAATAGAAGCATATCGTTGAGTAGTTCTAAACAAGAATAAATCAGTTATTAAGTAAACACCGATTTTCAGTTATCCCTTAACTGATATCTGTCAATAATGAAAAACTATCTCTAACTGATGAACAAAAATCTTAAAAGGTTGGTTGATACATGGAAAACATTGTTAAGTGTAAAATAGCATAACGTGAATAACTTGATTTAACTCTCAATTCTGAATATTTCTAACTCCTAAATAAGGTTTTTTAATGAAGAAAAATGACAAAAATTCATCAAAGTTAGTTTTATGTGGATAATACGATGTCTGTTTAGATGTTTACAGAGAACATTGATACCAGGGTATTTTAAAACAAATGTGGAAAATAGAAACTAAAAAGTAATTTTGTCTATACACATTGAAAATGTTGAGAAATATAAACCAAAGAGTAATCAGTACTTAGGTGTTTATTTTTTTCACTACATTTATAGAAGTTGCGAGATCGGTATGCGACATAATACAGTTCTATACGTTAAATAGGATCAAAATATATAACGGAGTTTATTCAGTGTGAACACTTCAAAAGTTATTCGTTTCTCATTTACATTATCCTGTATTAAATAGTGGAATGTTCGATCCAAAATTAGATAGTATAACAAACTTACAACAGCTTTAAAACTATTGGACTCCATCTTTTATGGGTACTCTTCAGCAATATGCACTCACAACCTCACAGAAATCTAATACCTTTAGATCTTAAATTGAGCAAAATAGCTTTGAACCATTTAGTGACAAACCAACTTTAGACATTTCGGTGATTTTATGATAATATCACCTAATGATATCTGAGATGATCAGAATCTACCATTCACGACTTCAAGACGAGTCTATAAAGTTCCAAAGTAAGGGTATAAAAAATAATATAAAGTCAGCTTATCAATTCTATGATAACAGAAGACGGAAATCGAACTTACAGTAGCTAAGCATTCTGGAAACCCTTGATCTATCAATTCCTCTTTGAATTCCTTCATTGTCACTGAGCCATCTTTATCTTTATCTAATTCCTCGAAACGTTTTTTTAACTCATTGATCTTTTTCTCCATGGTCGTTTTATATGGGACTGTTGGGACATTAAAATATATTGAATTTATTTCAAAAGGATATATTAGATAAAGGCAATTTATTGATGACATTTATGGTTTACTGAAATAATATGCAAGTAGGCATGTTAGGTAGTTTCTGATCTCATAAGCCAAAAGATTAAACATTGATCATTTGAATCATTTATTACTACATAAAATATATGAATAAACAATTTATACAACTTATATTGCTGTTGAGTTACTTCGAGATTATTTCAACTTATAAATAATGACTGTCACCAACCGACATCTCCCGAGGTATAGTTGATAAAATAAGGAACAATTCACAGCTATATCATTTAACCATGATAGTCCTCAACAGTGTGGGCTCATGAAACCACCAGATATTTGAGCTATGATAGTCATTTACTGGCCAGTAGGCTGCTTCAAGTTAAGCTATTAAGATTCTAGTGTGTGGTCGTACAGATCAACTGTGTCCAGAGTAAGACGTTCGTCATCATTGTGAAATAATTGAGGTTAAAATTAAGAGCCAATAGATAGTGTTTCGGTGATCTAAAGACCAAACTCCAACCGAGAGGTTTGAATGAAACGACTTCTATCTCTAGTGGTATCTTGAGTGGAAACTATAGAGAGTTTTAGTGTTAAAATTATAGCCTCCACGTTACCTCAAGTTCTCAGCGGCACTCCAAGTGATTTTGCTTTCGAATCATGTCCCCTACAATTCATATCTCTTTCTTAACGTTGATTAAAAACGCAATATTGGATATTATTAAAAAATTAACTACATTTTTATCAGGTTACCGAGGTCTAAACAACTAACAGATATTGGCAGTACGACAACCTTGTATAAAAAGTACCGTTTATTTAAACACTACGACTTAATTGTTCGTAACTTCGTACATGAAAGTATATGCTTCGGTTCAGTCAGTATTACAAGATATCCTATGTATTATTATCCATTTATTGTGAAAATTGTTTACTACTGTAGGGAACTGAGAAATACACCAGGCAAAGCAAATTACCAATATTCTAAAGAGTCAAGATAAAGAAAATCATTTTAAGATGTTGAAGAAGTGTGTGGTATACTATGAGGTAGATTATAAAGAAAACAGATTACGTATAATTAAAACATTTTGCATACTGTCTTTAAAAACTATGATGGAAAACTCCAATAGGCTTATCAATGGCTTTTATTTTTAACTGTGTTTAATAACATCTTAATTAATTAATTTCCAGTGGTTTTAAGACCTTTATTTGGTATATCATTTATTAAACAAAACCATGAATGAAAATAACAACCCCTAAGCATTTTAACATGAACATGAGGATTAATTAATTAGTGTTTAAGAGTGGATAGAACAAGAAGTGTAAAATCCGTCTATGATGCTTGAACACACAGGTTCGGACCAGATTAATAATTTTATAGTACTGGAATTAAATGAAAGAATTTTTTGCGGACAGCAAAAATCAACCACAGATCATCATTAGATGTGTGCAACTCGGAGTGATCCGATTCTTGAAGCTCAAGAGAGAGATGTAATTTTATTATCATTACAGTGAAGTCATAAGTGATCCAGATTGATACGATGGGCTCTCATTTTCACTAAACACAAATTGATCTCATCTACCGTATAACCTCGTCCGTTTTATCAAATAAACTAGTAATATTAACAAGTAATTTATTATATAATTGTTAATGATTTTAATAAATTATTTATACTAAATAATAACTAAAATATTCACATTAAATGTCAGTGTTATGAATAAATCACTCCAGATAGAACTGAATATAAAAAGAACTTTAACGACTTAACATTCTGTATGCCTAGAAAAATGTAATGCTAAGTGGTTTCATAGTACATCAGATAGGCGACATCATACACACAGTATGTTTATACACACGTAAGAGTAATCAAAAATCTATTTATCGAGTTAGTTTTTCTAACAACGAGAATAGTTATTGAAATAAAACATTCGCACTGCAACAAAGTTCGATGAAAGTCATGTCATTTTGCTATTGTCACTAAGTATTGATGATAGTCAAATCCATAATATTCGAATAGGTTTATTTCTAAGCCCACATTATGTGCTGCAAAAAAATGAAATATTTTGAGTCGAAATAAATATCTAACTTAAGGAACAATATATACATTAGTATTATGAAATTCCGTAACTTGATTTTGTGCTGCTTCAATACTATTCACTATTTAAAGTCATATAAATTAAAAGCGGAAACGTCATAGGATGTATATGTGGGTTTTTTCCACAATACAGCTTCATCTTATTTGTTTCACACAGTTAGATGTTTTTACATCGTGAAGAGAATGTTATCTTCTCTCGACACTATTTTTGCTTCACTTTACTTTCTGTTAGTTCTATTTATGACTTTTTTTCATCAAAGTTTATTAACATTCTTCTGATTGTAGATTTTGGCTAAACAGCAAGTTATCACTTAATTCCAAATCGTTATATTATTTTTTGGTTTGATTGCTTTAGATATCTTGAAGAGAATGTTACTGTTGATATGGAAATGGTAAATCAGTATGACAAAACTGTCATCTTGCACTGCGTTAAGGAAAAGAATATTGGAGTTCAACGACCATACAGTATGATAACTGGGTGGATGAATACAATTCTAAGTAGGTTTTCGCCTTAATTTAAGTAATCAGACATTCGTAAATAACAAAGAGACTGATATAAATGTTTATCACTCCACACTTCATATTAGCATAAAGCAATGTGATGAGAGGAATTCAAAACCATAAAGCTGAATTAACAATGTCGAGTTTAGGAATAAATCATACAAATAAAATACAATTTAGAAAGCGTGTATGAAAGTAAGAAGGGAAGAGAATGGAACAACTTGAAAACTCAGTGTTTCAAAGAAAATGAAGAACGAATACATCTCTGTCGCTGAAGCCGATATTTAACCATGTTATCTGTGGCTTTTAGCCAAAAATCAATATCAGCTTTAAGACTCTAATCAATAAGTCCGTATTTATTAACAAAACCCAATCAAAAACCGATAATAATTTCAAGGACTGTTGAAATGTTGTGCTCTAACCTGTCTTAAATCTCACTTCCATGTTATACAGAAAAACTTAATGGGAGTAATATCTAACTATGTGTACCATCTATCACAATTAGCCCTAGATAATAATAGTTCGTGGTCTACTTAACCTAATAACTGTGGGATTAGAACGAAAGATTTTATTGCCTCCCATGCTGAGTGTATCGTTATATGTTGTTATGATCCAAATGAAAGAAAACCATAAATAAAGAAGGAACTGTTAGATATATGGTTTTATTATTTATGGAAGTATTCGTTAAAAATCTTTGTTAGTGCTGTGCGACTATTAAGAATACATAGACTCTAAGGATGTAAATCAATAAGATATGTAACATACTATGTGTAAATACAATCTTACACATACTCTATACTCTGAAGGTTAAATTATATTACAATAAATAATTAATAGCCTTGAAACTTCGGTCAGAAACAAATTATGTCATCTTATCAGGCGAGCTTAACAATCTTGGAAACACTACGAAGATTTATCACGATAACCAATCTAGTTCAACTCCTACATTTAAAAGCGATATTCATAATATATTTTAGGGGATTACATCAGTTAAATAAAATATTAATTATAGGCTATTTATTGGAAATTGTGAAAATTTACTGTTTGTTAAATTATCACTATACAATACAATATCCGATGGTTAATGTTCCACCATGGCCACTATGGAAGAATAAGGTAAAAAGGTATTGTCTTTCTTCAAAACTAAATTTCTTTATTTCTTCTTTACATACGATTAACAATCTTCATCCTACTAGTAATCTCATACTGGTTTAGTTGAAAAATTTAGTCTTTTCTTATGCTGATCGAATGAATCAGCACGTGCGTTTGAATGTGCAAGCAAAATTATGCGACCTGAATTGTTTGGCACTGACAACTGTAAATTGATTCCACAGTAAAAAAATAAGTTAAAAAATCTTACTATACTCTTCATTTCAACTTGTTACTTGGATCCAAGGTTATTAGTGAATTGGGGTAAATAAGCCAACTACTTGAATGCAATTTTAATCAATGTTAAATTTGATCAATAACTCGATATATATTGTAAAAGAGATCTTTAGATGCTTATCATCTATAAATATCAATATTCAGTGTGCAGTCAAAATAAATTGTATTATTTTACCAGAGTTAAAAGTTATTTAGCATACCACTTTACAAAAACTATTAGTTCAATAAGTTCAATAGTTCTGTACAAAGAAATTAGAGGGTATGAATAGGTTATTGGTATTTTGTCACAAATTCCCTAAAACATTTCTGTTGTACGTTTTAATCAACGCTGAGGTTAGACGAGGCGTACCAGGTTAGGATATTGAATTGTTTGGTTAGATATTGAACTCCCATAAACTGAATTGATTGAGCATGCATTATTTATGCCCAACCTCCACCTATCTCGATGGATTATATTAGATGGAGTAGGAGTAGCCTGGGAGGAAGCTTGGGTGGCCAATGCAATACATCCCATCAGTCCATGAACTCAGTAACTGTTGGATTGTATCGAGTAGGTAGATTCAGACTACTAGGTTAGGGTGTAAGTAGTTGCGGTAATCAGGGTTTCAGAGGCCAGGTCATACTGTTCAGGATCGGTTGCAGTGGTGCAAATACATTCACTTTTTGTCTTTCCTTAGATTTTAAGTTCCAAAATTATCTTATACTTTTTGCTTTATTCTATGAAATCATTACTTCTCATATCATACTGTTCATTTCCAATTTTTTCCACCCCTATTATTATTATTATCATCATTAATCAGTGGTTCGCTTTAATAGTTTGATCTAGTGATGCAAATGAGATGTGGCAACGCGAACCGACTTGGCATATACTGGGTTCTACGTAAAGTTTTTATTTGGGTGAGTGATTTGTTTTAGAACTTAAACTAATTATCTCTTGAAACTCAGATTACTTATTCGATTTTTGTATTTGTTTTTTCGCGAGTGCATTT